CAACGTGGCCTGTGTGGTTAATACCTCTTGTATGGAACTGAACCCAGGCAGGTAGTTCTATGGGTGCCCATATTGAAAGGTAAGGTGGTTTGTGGTTTTTGAGGTTGCCTTTGATGAATGTGTTTTTGAGGTTATCTTTATGGTGCAAAACGAGAAAAAGAACTGTGGTTTCTTTAGGTGGGTACATGGGATGGTTGATGAAGTGGAAGAAGAAACCTCTACAATTGGGAGTTTTTAGCTGAAGCTCGAGGAAAGTTTGCGGATAGCTGAGTCGAAAGCGGAAAGGAGGAAGAAGGAGAAGAGAATTTTAGTTGAAGAGTTGTCAAGGTTGATGAAGACTTAAGAAGTTATGCTAGTTGAAGGAAGGAGAGTGGCTCATGACATCCATCTCATCCGATATGATTTCACAGTTGTTGTTGTAGTGAATTTCACATTGCTTGTTCTTTTGTCACAGCACCAGTTTGTTATGTAGAAGTAGTTGTCATTGTACTAGGTTTGCTTCCAATTGAAAGGTGAATAAATCTTGTGCTTTATTCGGTCGCTAACATTCAGCCTAACATCCTATGCAAACATTCCATATACTTTAGCATGTTAAACCGAAATAATAGCATACAACATTCAGATTTAATGTAGATATCTTACTTGGATTCCAACCCCTCGATTCAGAGGACAGGTTCTGACGTTATGATCACCCGAGCCACATTTGGAGCAATGGCCAACACGAGTTCTCCGAGTTGCAGGAGCTGTGTTTCTTGGTAGATCATGGGCTGGTCGCTTTCCCCTAGTACTCCGGGTGTTGACCTATGCAAACAATAAGTTTCATTTGTTAGTTTAAATTCAACATTTGAACACAAGAGTAGTGAACTGGAAAGATTAGGAGCAGTCTCACCACGCCTACTGCATCTCTAGGAGCAGCCCCATTGCCTCTTTACCAACCGCCATAAGAAGCATGCCTTTAATTTCCCCCTTCAGAAAACATCCGTCCAATCCGAACATCGGACGACACGCTTCCAGAAACTCATCTGATAGACCGTTAATTACACATGTTTTTACCCCTATTCTTGAGCCGTTTGAGATGTTGATTCTCGTGTTTTAGGCCGATTTCACGCTAGGTTGTTCTTGTTTGTTATATTTCAGGTCCTAGTACGTGAATGAAGGTTTGGGAACGAGTTCGGAGTCGATTGGACGAAGATTGGACATTTGGCGAGAAGCTGATGGAGCCACACGGGCATGCGTAAAAACCTACACGGCCGTGTGACATCAAATTGCATGGGCAAAATCACACGGGCCGTGTAGGGGACCCCTTGTGGCCGTGTGGAAATTCTAGGGAACTCACATGGGCACCCTGGAAATCCACACGGCCATGTGGGTCGTGGCCGTGTAGGATGGCTGAGGTCCACTTATCGAAACGCCGCATTTTGCACAACTCACACAGGCAGCTGGGAAAGCCACACGGCCGTGTGGCCTGCCCGTGTGGTCGGGAATTTCTTTGTTTTAACCCAAATTCGAGCCAAAGGAGAGGGAATCGACTTTTTGGAGACAAAACAGAGCCCTAGAGAGAGAAAGTACGAAGAACACCCCCTAAGAGTGGTTTTGGAGCTGGGTTTCATCAATCAAGCTTGGAAATCATCCTTGGAGTGGAGATCATCATCCCAGAGCAGATTCTTCCCATTGTTATGAGTATGACTGCTTTGTATTTTGTTTCCCTCTCTCTTTCTCTCTATGGAGTAGAACCTTCTCTCACTTGGGTATGAAGAACCCTAGTTCCATGTGTTAGGGATCTTGATTGTAATGACTTGGGATTGTTATACTATTTGGTTTTAATTGAATGATGCATGATTCATTGAATCAATTGAAGTCTGATCATCTTTTCTTGATTTCTGCTGCAACGTGAGATAGAATCTGATTTGGTTGTTAGAGCTTCATCATTCGGTAGTGGTAGATTGGTTATACGAGAGTTAGTCAATCTATTGCTTTGTACTGGAATCCCATTCCAGTAGTGGAGTTCTGTGCTCATTGCCTCAACGTTCTATCCCGGTGAAGGCTAGTCGTCTGCCGGGTAGTTGGACTGAGAGGGCTTGGTCAACTAAAGAGAATCCAAGCTACTGTCGGATCTTCCGCAGTTTAATCAACAGTAAATCAACCCAGGGTAATTACAACTGAGACCTAACTAAGGAGCTAGGGGGACTCATTCCCGAGTGACTCTTCCTTTGCTTTAGAAAACCGAACCATTTCCTGCTTTCTTACTACTTTTAGTTAAAACCACAATCAATCGACTTAGTTGGCTAGATAATAGATTTCACGGAGTAGGCGGTAGATCTAGACCCCGGGTTGATAATTAGAACTTGCCACTTTACTGCATTTCCGGACTGCGATTACACTTGGTCGCAGTTTGGTGTTGTGTTTTAGCATGTCAAGTTTTTGGCGCCGTTGCCGGGGAACCTCTAGGTTATTGGTGAAACGTGAAAGTTTGTTATTCTAGCTTTTTCGTTACTGCATTTTCTCTCTTCCACCTGTGTGCCTTCACGGGTTGCTTTTGCTGATTGTGTGCAGGTAGTGAATGACCCGTAGCCAGTCGGGAGATTTACTACCATTAGACCAGGAGCTTGAACGGACCTGTAGGAACTTCAAGCGGGCTCTCAGGGCGCGACTGGCTGCGGAGGTGGCGCTAGCACAGCTGCAAATCGCCGACGAGGAAGAAATGGGTGACCCACAGAACCATGATGTGGTCCTTCCCGAGGAGCAAACCATGGGATACTACTAGACCGCCAGAGCCGCGGACATGAGGTCGCCCATTCAGCACCCTCATGTGCCATGCTGCGCGATTCGGTGGTGTTCCGTGGCAAAGAGGGGGAGTGCCCCCGATCACATCTGAGGCGATTTCACGAGCTCATCGATGGAATCAAGATAAATGGGGTCCCAGCCGATGCTATCCAGCTGAGGTACTTCCCATTTACGCTGGAGGGACAAGCCAAGGAGTGGCTAGACACTCGACCTCCAGGCTCGATCACCACGTTCGCCAACCTGGAGGACAAGTTCCTCACTCGCTACCATCCCCGTCCAAGACGACGGACCTGTAGAAGCAAATTACCCACTTTGCTCAGGATGGAGATGAGACCATCCGGGATGCTTTGGAGAGATACACCAGTCTCTTCCTCAAGTGTCCCAACCATGGTTTTACTGACACCTTCAAGGTGGGCACCTTCTACCATGCCCTCTTCCCGGAAGACAAGCAGTTGATTGACTCGGTCTGTGGCGGGAATATGCTCACCAAAACACCGCCACAGCTGAATCAACTTCTTGAAGAGATGGCAGAGCAGGGCTATGACTGGGGAACTGCGAGGAGATCGAGACGAGCACCAGGGCGGGGTGTGCATGTTGTAGCCACCCAGTCATTTGATTTGGTGCAGGTGGTATCGAAGCTGGTTTCAGCAATCGATCGCTCTGGGACAATTGCAGGTACAGGACAGCAGCAGGCGATGCACTGCCACCCGTGTGAGCGTGCCCGTGTGGCCGACCCAGCGCCTATAAATTCGGTCGACACGGCCGCGTAGCCAGAAAATCCCACAACCCCTCGCCAGAATCCTCTCCCCCTCGCCGGAAAACCGCGATTTTGAATTTTTTTGGGCAATTTTCGGCCATTTTTGGTTGGCTTTTCACCAAACCACCACCCAACCCAATCTTCCCTCATCCTTTTCGGCATTTACCTTGAGTTTGGGGTGATTTGGGTCGGATTTGGGTCATCGGAGGCGATTTCCGGCGAGGCTCCGACGAGCATTTCCGGGCAGATTTTGGGGTTTTCGTTGCTTCCATTGCCTTCCTTTCATCACCCCCTACACCTCTACTTGTGTCTCCAGATTTGATTTTGCCCTTTACCTTGTGAATTGTGGAAAATTGGATGTTAGGGTGTATGTTTAGAGAACAACTTTGCAATGTGTGAATTGTGTGCAATTGATTGAGGGGAAGGCTTGGTTTATGTGTGAATTATGTAGGGCAATGTCCCCCATGCTTGTTTGAGCCCTTGTGTGCTAGAATTTTGCCAATTCCATGCTTAACTTAATAGTGCACACACGGTGTTTGATGAAATGCCAGTTTTTCATACCATTTTGTGGGAGCCGGTTGGGGCCCTTAATGATGTGCTTTGATGGTGTATTTGCTATGGATGTGAACCTTAAGTTGCCTATTTCATTGTGGATGTGCACCTCCACACAGATTGTGCTTTTTTGATCAAGTTATTGACCCCCGAACTATGAATGAAACCATTGTTCGGCTGTTTTCTGTTCTCAAGTGTGGGGTGTGATTAACCTTTTCTATGGCTCTTTTGGATCCACTTTGGGTTGTTGTTTTGCAGAGGGCCCCCCACTAGGATCATTTTAAGCGCGTCCTGGCCTGCTCGTTTGGGAAGCATCACTACTGGTCTAGGAGGGAGTTTGAGAAGCTGCACTGCTACGACCACTTCCTCTCCATCGCCACCAACCGCCCCTGGCGCTGTCTGCTGTCCATTCAGGAGAAGGTCTACCACGAGCTCGTGCTGGAGTTCTATACGACTTTCAAGCACGAAGATACAGAGGATTGGACAGACGGTGAAGCCGTCAAGTTTCGGCTCGATGGTGTGCCCCGCTCCATGAGCTACCACGGCTTGGCATTCTCTCTCGACCTCGGCCTGGACGATGATGTGGACTACGTCACCGAGCTCAACGATCCAGCGGGTGTTAACTTCAAGACGCTGTACACCCGCCTAGCTCAGCCCGGCCAGCGTCCCTTCGTTGCAGGGCGGACGAAGGCCAGCACCCTGCAGCTCGATAACCGCATTCTCCACCACATGCTGGCGAAGTCCTACACTCTAGATGCGGAAAGTGCCAACACCCTCACCAAGAGGTCCATGTACTTCATCCAGTCCATCAGCCAGGCGGACCATCCTCTCCACCTAGGTTCTGTGGTGGCCAGAACCTTTGACAAGAGTGCTTCAGAATTGCGGGGCCTACACTGCACTCCCCTCATCACCCGTCTGGCCACCTACTTCCAAATCCCACTGCAGGTTGCACAGAGCAGGGGGCACTAGTGTCTTTGGCGAAGACACGATCAAGAGTATGCACCTGCTGCGAGTCGAGCGCGGCATCAAGTGGATCGCGGGGTTTCGTGAACCTCAAATCTCCGCGGAGGACTAGCGCGATGCTCCTGAGGATGAGGCTGTTGAGGATGTCCACCCTAAGGATGTGGATGATGCTGACGCCCCCCGCCTGACCACCTTCGGGTACGGGGGTAGCAGTTCGACTTTCCCAGCCCAGGACTACTTCACTCACCAGTTCCAGCAGTTGAGCCTCCAGAATCAGCAACTCCTCGACCATCATCTCCAATTCCAGCAGCAGTACTCGGCTCACCAAGCCGAGTATCAGACCCGGATGGCTGCCTATGATGAGCGCCTTAACCGTATGGAGACCTAGCAGTGCGTGACCCTTGCTCACATCGAGCGGGAGAAGGCCCAATCTCGGCATATGCAGGAGGTCCAGCAGCACCTGCTCCAGCTGATATCGGGTGAGCAGCCAGTCTGGAGGACTCCCTGGGAGGAATCTCCCCTTCCACCCCCGGCCGCCGGAGATGATGCCTTCATGAAAGTCATCGACTTTGACAACCTTGGCGATGAGTAGTCTGTACTCGTCGCCCCTCAAAATGTGTTTTTGGTTAAGACTCTTCATGTTTGCTCCATGTGTGTGCGGAGCTTGAACTGAGTCTGTCGTTTGTTTTTGCACTTTTTGCTTTCTTTTGTGGATTGTCTATTTTGTGGCCATCTGGGCTAAACTCTTATCCCTAACGCATGGTGTGCTAGTGTGTTATTGATGTTCCCTTTATGCAGAACTGTTTCGTTCGTTCCATATGTTCCCCGCTGACTGGTCCACTTCCAGTTTCCCGGCAGTATTTCAATCCGGTAACATCATTACCCTTCTCTCTCCCTCTGCTCCATTGAGGGCAATGTCGTGCTTAAGTGTGGGGGGGTGCTTTGTATCGGTTGGAATCTATATGTGTGCTTGGAGCATAGTCTGCTGTCCAAATCTCGAGATTTGAGGGCTCCAAGTATCGCTGTTTGCATGATCATATTGGCACTGTGATTTGATTGGTGAATCGAATGGTTTTCGGATTATTGCATGACAGCTTGATTGTAACTAGGACAACCTATGATAATGACTGAGACGTGCAGTAGAATTGTGTAGGGGTTCAGTTTTTCAACTGTTTGCTTACCAACTGTGACTTGGTTGATCACTTGTTCTTGACATTCCTTTATGCATCTAGTTTAGGGAATCAGAATGAGAGATAGAGCATATAGGTAGCCATGTGAGATTTGAGCCTGCTCATTTCTTTCTTGTGCGATAGTTCCCTCTTCCATGATGTGTAGCATTCACGTTATCAGTAGTTAAGATGATGGAGGCATAGGATTAGCCCACGACCAAATTGACTATCCTGGTGTGTCATACCCCCTAGTCAGCCCCTTTGAGTCGTGTACTTTCCTTTCTTTCGGTCTACAATGAAAAATCACCCATTTGCATCTCTTAGAAGGTTCCACAGAGTGGTTTTTGCATGTTCTCTGTTGTTTCTGCTAAAAATAATGTGAGGGTTGGAGGTAGTTCTTAAAAAGATGGGCATGTGTTTGAAAAAAATGTGCATAGGTGGTGGTTCTCTCAAGAAATGAAGAAAAAAAAAGAAAACAAAGAGGAATGAAAGCAAAAGAGAGCCACCACAAAAAAATATGAATAGTGCCCATTAAGTAGTGTTTCTTAGCAGTCTGGCTTGGAAATACTAACATTTATGTGACCTCTTTCACTCTTGTGTTTTAGAGGATGTGAGTAAAGCAGAATGGCAGAAAGAAAGAGTGGTTTGATTGACTATGATTGTGTTGGGTTTGGAATTGTGGAACCTTGTGCTATGAATACTTCCACCACCTAAAAGGCCTTTTCCCCATGTCCAAGACCCTAGCCAGTCATTTGAACCTGTGTCTAAGACCTCTGGATTAGTTAGCGATGACACCCATTCATGTGAACTCTAACATTTAGAGGCTGCCGTCATGGTGAAGAGACGTTAGGGATTGAGAGAATAAGCATGCGCATTTTTCGCATCAAATTGTCCTGACCCCACTAGTCGAGAGTGAGCGATTCATTTTCTCATATTCTCTATACTATTTTACCCCGGCGAGGACCTAGATTGCTCGGTCTCAATTCTGATATCTTGAGTTTTGTGCATGAGGTGACTGTCTTGAGTAAGTGGTTGAGTCAAGTCTATGTTGGTTGATGAACAGAAGGGAGACTCCTCCTTTTCTCGATTTTGCTGCACTCGAATGTCCTCTGTGGTGGTTGTCTAGGTTGCTTTTGAAGTTGTTTATGTGTTGATGTTTGAAAGCCAGTACGATTCACGTGTTCTGTGCCTATATGAATTGTCCCCAAGGTTGGTATGATTGAAATATGCTGAGCTTACCTTGTATCTGACTTAGTTTTCTTGGAGACAAGCAAACGATTAAGTGTGGGGGAGTTTGATAGACCGTTAATTGCACATGTTTTTACCCCTATTCTTGAGCCGTTTGAGATGTCGATTCTCGTGTTTTAGGCCAATTTCTCGCTAGGTTGTTCTTGTTTGTGATATTTCAGGTCCTAGTACGTGAATGAAGGTTTGGGAACGAGTTCGGGGTCGATTGGACGAAGATTGGACATTTGGCGAGAAGCTGATGGAGCCACACGGGCACGCCTAAAAACCTACACGGCCGTGTGACCTGGTCGTGTGACATCAAATTGCACGGGCAAAATCACACGGGCAGTGTAGGGGACCCTTGTGGCCATGTGGAAATTCTAGGGAACTCACACGGGCAGCTTGGAAATCCACACGGCCGTGTGGTTGTGGCCGTGTAGGATGGTTGAGGTCCACTTATCGAAACGCCGCGTTTTGCACAACTCACACAGGCAGATGGGAAAGCCACATGGCCGTGTGGCCTGCCCGTGTGGGCGGGAATTTCTGGGTTTAACCCAAATTCGAACCACAGGAGAGGGAATCGTCTTTTGGAGCAAAAACAGAGCCCTGGAGAGAGAAAGTGCGAAGAACACCCCCTAAGAGTGGTTTTGGAGCTGAATTTCATCAATCAAGCTTGGAAATCATCCTTGGAGTGGAGATCATCATCCCAGAGCAGATTCTTCCCATTGTTATGAGTATGACTGCTTTGTATTTTGGTTCCCTCTCTCTATATGGAGTAGAACCTTCTCTCACTTGGGTATGAAGAACCCTAGTTCCATGTGTTAGGGATCTTGATTGTAATGACTTGGGATTGTTATACTGTTTGGTTTCAATCGAATGATGCATGATTCATCGAATCAATTGAAGTCTGATCATCTTTTCTTGATTTCTGCTGCAACCTGAGATAGATAGAATCTGATTATGTTGTTAGAGCTTCATCATTCGGTAGTGGTAGATTGGTTATACGAGAGTTAGTCAATCTACTGCTTTGTACCGGAATCTCATTCCAGTAGTGGAGTTTTGGGCTCATTGCCTCAGCGTTCTATCCCGGTGAAGGCTAGTCGTCTACCGGGTAGTTGGACTGAGAGGGCTTGGTCACCTTAAGAGATTCCAAGCTACTGTCGGATCTTCCGCATTTTAATAAACAGTAAATCAACCCAGGGTAATTACAACTGAGACCTAACTAAGGAGCTAGGGGGACTCATTCCCGAGTGACTCTTCCTTTGCTTCAGAAAACCGAACCATTTCCTACTTTCTTACTGCTTTTAGTTAAAATCACAATCAATCGACTTAGTTGGCTAGATAATAGATTTCACAGAGTAGGCAGTAGATATAGACCCTGGGTTGATAATTAGAACTTGCCAGTTTACTGCATTTCCGGATTGCGATTACACTTGGTCACAATTTGGTGTTGTGTTTTAGTGTGTCACCATTCCTTAATGTAGAGAATCCTATGTACATTCTTTGGAAGTACACCTTGTCTTGTGAAGGGTGCGGCTCAACTCCATGAATGAAGTTTCTCTAGGATCTCGCTTTTTCAACTCTCCCAAGTAAGACCTCACCATGTGATAATCTTCCACAAGTGAACCACTCAACATTTTGAAAGCACTTATTTTTGCTCTATAGCAGGTTCTTCTAGCCACTTCTATATTATGCTTCAAATTTACCTCTGCCATGATTTGAGTTGGCGCCCACTCGGGATTAATTCTGAATCTCTCAAGCATATCCTGTGCAATCTAGTGGGCAGTCACTTGGTTGAGACGCAGTTGTCTTGCACAAGAATGTGGCAGCCTGGTTTTCCTCACCATGAAGCTCTGATTCCGCCTGAACCAGCTAGCATATACCTTCCATTTGCAGTTCTGGTCCTTGCATTTGACCTATCTTCTTGATTTCTTAATCCTAACCCATCTCAAACCGGCCCCAGCAGCAACAGAGTGGCGAACCACAACTGCCTTAAATTCCTCCGGACTTGCAAACTTCATCCGAGTCACGAACTGGAGAACATTGTGGTTACAATGTGGATCATATTGCGGTGCATCATCGAAGATGTCCCCACCTTCCGAGTCAGAAAGATTGGCACTAACATGGTTGGAATCTTCAGAGAGCTTGTAACTCGAATGGTTCGAGTCTGCTCGCCTAGCTTCTTTCATTGGAGGTACGTCGGCCGGTTCTGGATCCTCCTGTTCTTCATTCACACCATCCTCCTCCTCAGAGTCATCACTAGAGGATTCGTCCTCCTCAAAAAAATCAAGCTGTTCGACCTCCTCTCCATGGCCAACAATACGTGCCTTCACCTTCCTTCTCTTACTCTCCCCATAGGCTCTTAGATTTGCCATTGCTTCATGGTACTCGTCATCCGATGTGTCTACATATTTTGAATCGTAAACATGGTATATATCTCGAGAAACAGATGCCTCGACACCATCATGTGCAGCCAAGGAAGCATCTGGACTCTCCTGAACAGCGTCTGGATCATACTCTCCAAAAGCCTCATCCCATGAATCGCCCATCTGTAACAACTTTAATAAGTTTTTAATCACCATTATCCCTATTAACTATTCTTTAATCACTAACTAACAAACAACTCAAAAAAAGCAACGATTGACATTATTCAATTCTAGGGTTTTTGCAACCAAAGGTAATGACAATTCTACCCAGAAGATTCAGCTACTCACCGTCAGATTCAGTGGCAAAATGGGTGTGGAATCCAGTCGGGTTGTCCCCTTGTTCTTCTGCCTTTACACCTCGCTACCAACAAAAAAAGCAAGAGAAAGACAATACTATAAGAACTTTATAGTCAAAATCAACACCCATAACTACCAACTCAAAAGTGAGACTCACCAGTGGCTAAAGGCGAGGTTGCTCAGAAATCCCCCTTTTTCTGTGCGATAAGGGTTTCTTTGAATCCTCTCCTTGCGTTTCCAGGGTTCGTCGTGATTAGGGTTTCCAGCGGAAAGGAAGCATGGGAGGAGCCAGTCTGAGCTCGTCGCGAGTTGTTTAAGTCACCGAAATTGGTGTTGGTCTTCGTCAAGGGAGCTGGGTGAGAAGGGTAGATCGACGAAGGATGAAGAAAATTAGGGGATACGATGGGTTAGGGGGTTCGCTGCCTTCGTCTTCCTCTGTCGCCTTCATCAAAATCCTTCGCCTTCGTCTTCCTCTGCAGGCGAAGGGTTAGGGGTTCGTCGATGTAAAAAATGAGAAGGGAAGAAAGTTAGGTCGAGTCGAGGGGTGATGTCAAATGGGGCTTTGAAAGTTTTATTCTTTAATTTTTTAAATGAAATTAATTAGCAATACACGTGGATAAGTACAGAGGAATTGGGAAATTAGCATTCGCCACGTAAGCAACACCGTTTGTCCAGTCAGACTTAAGGTTAACATCGTCAAAGAATGTGACAGAATTGGATATAAGTGGTATTTCTAGATTTTGGATATTATTGGCACAACCGTTAAAGTTTTGGATATGCAAGTGTATTTAACCTTTTCTTAGTTTGAAAACCCAAAAACCGTTTTGCTAGATAGCAACTTAAGAGATTGAAGTAGGGGTACATGGATTGGCCCGGGTTGACAATTTAAATACTTGCTCTATACTGCACCCGACTAGAGTTTAAAAACTTGGGCCCTAGTCGGGAATAATTTGTGTAGTATACCATTGGGGATTTCAAGAAGTCCCCCATATGAAGAAAACTTCCCTCCTCAAGTCGAGAAGAAATCCAAGTTGGAGTTGGCAATGGAAGCTTTCATGGGAAAATCTGCAATACCATGTGCCATTCCACAAATGGAGCCGAATAGCCAATTGGAGCTCATGTTGGAGCAGTTTGTTCGAGGCACCGATGAAGGGTGCTCAAACTTGGATATCCCACAACCCGAAGCGAAATCCAAGTTAGAGCTTGCCGTGGAGAATTTTGCAAGAACAAACTTCAATACAGATTTCCAACCCCTCCCTCCTCCCGGTTTGACACTAGAAGAGAAGGTAGCACAAGCTTGTACTAGCTATTGCCTCTCGTTATTGGAGGACAAAGTGGCACGAGCTTGTGAAAGCTATCGCCTATCATTTTTGGAGGAGAAGGAGGAGGTTGAAGGAGCGATCAATGACAACCGTGTGGAGCAAGAAGAACTCACCCCGGAGAGCTCCCATGGTGAGGATGAATAAGAAGATTGCATTGATGACTACCATCACTTTCCCCTTCCCAAAAGCTACTTTGAAGACAAAGACATGAGTGAGAAGGAGTAAGAGAATCCCTTCTATGACCTTGCATGGCATCTTGCCCTCAAATTCGTGCTTGAAGATATGAATGGGAAGGAGAAAGAGGAGGTCGAAGAGGAGGAAGCTAAATTTAAAGAGGAGGAAGATCTTGAGTGTTCCAAAGGGGAGGAAACTGAAGAAGAAGGAAGGGAGGTTGAAGATGAAGTAGAAGGAGCAAGCAAGGTCCAAGATGAAGTCCACGTCGTGGTGGATGAAGCCTCAAGAAGTTACAAGTGCGAACAAAGCTTTCCACCTGACCTTGATGCGCTTTTGGAGAAGGACCCATATGCCGCCCTTTGCGAAGCCAAAGCCAAGCCATCGATGATCCCCCTTTGGTGGATTTCTATGGAAATCAGCGAGTTTTCACTACATGGTGTGGGGCAAAGAGAAAGATGAAGAAGGAAATAAGAAGAGGTCTCGTGGGTGGAGCCTCAAAGCCAATCAAGTTCACGAGCCCTCAATCATGGACTCGTCCAATGCTCGTGACTTGAGACACCACCTCACTGACGAGAACCTCAACTTCAAGGAGGTTCTTGGGTGGACTGAAACTTGAAGAGCAAGCGTCCGGCTCATGACGTTAAAGAAGCGCTTGGTGGGAGGCAACCCAACCATCAACAATTCACATTTATTTTCCATTCAATAAGAAGACCATTGGAAAGATTTTGGCGGTATTTTGCTTGCTCTTTCGGATCTCACCCGCCCTCCGCTCTCGATCACCATCATTCACAACTTGACCGGTAACATTATGCATGTTCGTGTGAATGATTGGTGTGATTTTGAATGCTTTGGAGCCTAAATGTATGCCCAAAATTTTGAAATTTGAGGTCTCCAAGCATAATAACTTCTACATTTGCATGATCATAGTGGCATCTTGTGGTGATTTGTTTTGAATCTCGTGGTTATTAGCATGGTCTATGGATGATTTGCTTGTGATTCTGTGCGACCTATGATAATGAATGAGACATGTATTAGGTTTGGGCATAGGCTCATTTCTCATGTGTTTGTGAACCGATAGATGTTTTGAATCGGTTACTTGCTTTTCACAATTGCCTATGCATCGGGTTTAGGGAGTTAGAACGAATGATTGAGCACCTAGGTATCCATGTGCTACTTGTGTCGTTCGTTTAGTTCTTATGCAATAGTTCCCCCTTTACATGATGTGTAGCATTCACGTTGTTGCTAGTGAGGAAAATGGAGGCATAGGTTTAGTCCACGACCCAAATGTTGACCGTCGGGATCTCATTATCCCCTAGTCAACCCTTTTGAGCCGTGTGTCTAAGGTTCGTTCTCGTGTTAGGTAGCTCACGCTACTTGAGCTTGATTGATTTAGATAGAACGACCCTACTTTCTTCGTGTCTACACCGTTATCGAGTTACCCTTGTGTTAGTAAGCTCTATTCATACCATTTGAGCTTGAACGAGGTTCCACATAAGTGATTTGTGTATGGTTTTGGTAAGAGGTGAAGTGAGTGTGGAGGTAGTTTTTCAAAGTGAGCATTGTTCCGCAAGTTAAAAAATGTGTCCTGTTTTTAGCTCACTATAGCCCTCAAAGGAAAGAGAAAAGAAAAAAAATCAATAAGAGGGCAAAGAAGAAAAAAGAGTGGCCACCAAAAATATAATAAATGTTGAACATGCTCTTAGAAGTGTTGCTTAGCATGAAAGCTTTAGGAACATTTACATGTTGTTTTCCTACCACACTCTTGTGCTTGAAATTGAATAGCAAAGGTAGCAAGAAAGATTGTTGCGAATGGTTTGGTGATTGGTTCTGGTTTGGAAGCGAGGGAAGTGTTGTTTTTGGCCAATGCTAGTGGCCATTGAGTATAGGATAGGGTTCTAATCGAAACCTTAGAACCTTTTGTGGTTTTAGGATGGAAATGTGGAACCTTGTGCTTTATTTGCCACCACCCAAAAAGCCTTTTCCCCATGTCCTAGACCCTAGCCAGTCATTTGAACCCGTGTCTAAGACCTCTTGACAAGCTAGCAACGAAACCCATCTTGTGAGCTCTAACATTTAGAGGCTATAGTCATGGACAAGGGACGTTAGGATCGAGCGTGAACATGCACATCTTTGCATCAAACAGTCCTGACCCTGAGGGCAGGAGTCCAGGAAACAGTCACAGTTCACGGACGTACGAGGTAGTTCACGGTCTCCTAAGACCGTGAACTTCAACCACAAACCGTGAACACCAAGGCATCCAACGAGGTTGCTGAAGTTACTGACGACAAGGCAGTTCACAGTCTCTAAGACCATGAACTGTGGCCATTGACCATGAACCCAGGAAGTAAAGTCGTGTGTTTTGGAGACGACTGAGTTCACGGACGCGTTTAGGAGTTCACGTCCGTGAACTGGCCAACGCGTTCGTGAACTAATCACTTTCGGGAAAATATGAAGACTTCATCGGGGAGAGAGAGGGAGAGCTGGTTTTTTTAGAGAAATTCAATTCCCTCTCTAGGGTTTCCTAGAAACACCAAAGGGCAGTTCTAGTGTGTGTGTGTGTGTGTGTGTGGGAGAGAGAGAGAGAGAGAGAGAGAGAGAGAGAGAGAGAGAGAGAGAGAGAGAGAGAGAGAGAGTGCTAGAGTGATCTTGGAGCATCATTAGAGGCTTGGGTGGACCTTGAAGACAAGGATTCAAGCCTAGAAGAAGAAGAAGAATTGGAGCTCAAATTTGTAATCCCTCTCTCTCTCTCTCTACAAACTCACTATTTTCTCTTGGATGTTGTAGATCCCTAACTAATACTTTGTAATTAGTTGTTTAAATTGAATGACTTTGTATAGGTTTGCATCAATTTGAGTATTAGAGGTGCTTTCATGGTGATTGTGCTTAGTTGTGCTTTCCAAATCTTGTGTGCTTTCCTAACCTAGATTAGAGGAAAACCACACCTTTTTAGGTACGCTTGACAAGCTTGGTTTTCTTGGGCTTGTTGTGTCTACTATCTAGGAAAGAGATGAGCATCCCTCTTGACTCAAGTTTGCATCTAGGTTGGTTGTGATTACGCCGCTCAAACTCCTGTTTGAGGGAGAGACCTAGGCAACCGCTAGAGACTGAGCGAGAGGATCAATCCCGTGACAAATCGATCTCTACTGAATCCATCCTGTGACAAATGGATCACTAGTTGCTCTTCCTAGCGGTTCCCCTAGATTTTGTGAGTGGATCGATCCCGTGACAAATCGATCGCTAGTGATTTGATTCTGTGACAAATCGATCACTAGCTGCTCACCCCCGCGGTTCACAATCACCTACGCCACACGACTTCATTCAATCCAACAA